GGGGGGGGACTTGCCCCATAATACAATTTTGCAAGAGCAAAATTCATTGCAAATATAATTTTTAAAAGATATAAAAGGCAACTAACTATACACACGTACCTCACCATATGAAATACACAGAAATCAAATTGACTACATATATATGTGGGAAGAGGTAGAGGAGAATCTCAATAGCACCAGCCCACAAAAAGCCAGGGGCAGACTGTAACACACCATTAACTATTCATATGACAGTTCAGACTGAAGCTGAGGAAAACTAAAACAAGTTCACAACAGCCAAAATATGACCTTGACTATATCCCACCTGAATTTGGAGAGCACCTCGAAAACAGATTTGATGCATTAGACACTAATGACTGAAGAGTGTGGGATGGCATCAAGAACATCATCCATATAGAAAGTCAAAGGTTATTAAAGGAAAGAACGAAAAGACGAAAATGCATGTCAGAAGAGACTCTGACTCTTGTTGAATGTAGAGAAGACAAAGTGACTAGGAGATATGAGGACGTCAAACAGCTGAACAGAAAATGTCAAATGGCTGCTAGAGAAGACAAAATCAAGCATTATAATGAAATGTGCAAAGACTGGAGCTAGAACCAAAAGGGAAGAACACGTTCAACCTTTTTTCAAGGTGAAAGAACTGAAGAAAAAAATTCAGCCCTCGAGTTGCAATATTAAAGGATTGAATGATGCAGGAAGCATCAAGAGAAGACGGAAGGAATACACAGTCACTGTACCAAACAGAATTGGTCAATGTTCACTCAGTTTTAAGAGGTGGCATATGATCAAGAACTGATGGTATTAAAGGAAGATGTAGAAGTTGCACTGAAGGCATTGGTGGAAAATTGGTGGGACACAAATTGAAATGTCTCAACTGATGCAGCACAGAGACATTTACTCATCTATGCCAAGAAGTTTGGAAGACAGCTACCTGGCTAAGCGATTAGAAGAGATTCATATTTATGCCCAATCCAAAGAATTGTAACTCAGTGGAATGTGGAAATCATTGAACAATACCAGGATTAGAGGACAATTCATTAATAATCTAAAATATGCAGATGACACACCTTGCTTGCTGGAAGTGACCTTCATCAGTAAAACCTTGCTCATTGATAAAGATCAAAGCCTATAGCCTTCAGTATGGATTGCACCTCAATGTAAAGAAAACAAAAATCCTTACAACTGAGCCAATAAAAATGTCATGATAAATGGAAAAAAGATTGAAGTTGTCAAAGAGTCCATTTTGCTTGGATCCACAATCAACACTTAAGGAGGCAGCAGTCAAGAAATCCAAGGGTATATTACATTAGGCACATCTATTGTTAGTTTGAGGGCTAAGGCTCACCTGACCCAAGCCAGGATATTTTCAATGGCCTCATATGCCTGCTGAAGTTGGACAAAGAATAAGGAAGACTGTAAAACAATAGATGCATTTGAATTGTGGTGTTGCAGGAGAATACTGACAGTATCAGAAAAACAACAAATCTGTATTGGAAGAAGATCAGTCTGAATGCTCCTGAGACATGAGGATGGTGAGACTTCATCTCTCATTCTTTGGATATGTTGTCTGGAAGGATCAGTCCCTGGAGAAGATAGTATGCTTGGCAAAGTGGATGAAGACCTCCAAGGAGATGGACTGACAGAGTGGCAGCAAGAATAACAAACATAATAACAATTGTGAGGATGATCTGCTGGGCACAGGGTCACTATGAGTCAGAACTGACTTGATGATACCTAACAACAACATAGGACAGAGCATCTGTCATGTTCACCTCAGTCAGGAATGCAATGGTTCCTCCTTAACTTGGACTCTGTAACAGTTCATAAGACCATGTCAGTACATTTGTTAAAAGAGTCCTGAATGAAATGGAATCTAATTGGTCTTGAGAAGGAAAGGTCTAGGAGACTAGTTTGTGCTACTTATAGAAACCTATGTCCTGTGTCTGCTGAGGGAGACACTCACCAGCATCAAGGCTTCCAGTAGCTGCTGTCCAGCCCATAACAGGAGGGATGGCTCCGACCACTGCTCCGACCCATGTATTGGCAATGCTGATCCTCTTCAGCGGCGTATAACAGCAGGTATACAGGAAAATGTTGAAGGCTCCCAGGGCCCCTGTGAGGGGATTCACTCCCCATGTCAGCAGGGCAACTCCTGGAACAGCACAGCATGTGGCAAAGGACACGGCGAGTAAGGGACTGGAAAAGAGCAGAGAAGACAGGACTTACTTTCAACCCAAGGTCACACACTGCAGAGAATCAGCACTGACCAAGAGGGGGGTAATAAACCTAGTGGTGATAACTCCGGAAGGGGGTGCTGGCTGGGCACCTCCCTTGTCATGGGGAATCCCCTTTTATAAAACCTAAAATAACATGGGGCTGTGTTTGCAGAAACTCTGGCTGCTCCACATGATTGTGCCAGCTGGCAATAGAGTAGCTGAGAGTTGATGTCAGAGAGTCGCTGGATTTGAGTATAGGTTCTGTACCTTCCTGGCTGTACGATGTCTGGGCTTCACTTTACTCATCTCTATAGGAAGGATGGTGGGTTGAAGTGAGGATACAATGAGACAGTGTCTCCCATACATTTTTGTTCTGTTTTATAAAACCAGTTACTCTCTAATGGATTCTGACTTATGGCAACCCGAGTATGTCAAAGCAGAACCGTGTTCCATGTGGATTCCAATGACTGACAACATGAGTGTGTCAAAGTAGAACCGTGTTCCATGGGGGTTCCAATGACTGTTTTTAGAAGCACATCACCAGGTCTTTCTTCTTAAGAATACCTGGGTGAGCTCTCGAACTTGCAACCTTTTGTTGGAAGAGTTCATTATCTGTTTGCCTTACCTGGAGATTCCTTATCCATTCAGAATGCAATCCTCTAAGATTTGGATCAAAAAGAAGACTAATATCTCAATCCTAAGGAGCCCTGGTGGTACTGTCAGTTAGGCACTAGGCTGCTAACTACAAGATTATAAATTCAAATCCACTAGCCACTCCACGGGAGAAAGATGAGGCTATTTGCTCCCATAAAGATTGAGTCTCAGAAACTCTATACAGGTCTCTCTGTGCCAGAACGGACTCAATGGCAATTTTGTGTGTGTGTGTGTGGGGGGGGGGTACCTCAATTCTGGAAGTAGTTCTACCCATGTATACTTTATTTAAAACTATCACCTAAATTGTTGTTGTTTTTAAGTACCATGGAGTCAGTTTCGACTCACAGCAACCCCGTATAGTGTTTCCAAGGGTGTAAATCTTTGCAGCAACAGAAAGCCTCATTTTATCCTTTGTAGCGATTAACTAGATAGTTCGAACCACTGATCTTGTGGTTCACAGTCCAACAGAGCCACCGGGCTCCCATCACCTAAGGTAGTAACAAGAACGAACCTCAGTGAGTGTCATCATTACAATGTTGTTGTTGTTAAGTGCCGTCGAGTTGGTTCTGACCCACAGTGACCCTGTATAGGGTTTCTGAGGAGCGACTGGTGAGCCTGAATCGCTGATTTTGCAGTTCACTGCATTAACCCACAGTGCCACACCGCGACTGCATCTGTAACGAATTACAGACTCGGCAGCACCGACAGTTAGCCACTGAATTCAGTAGTAGTGACTCAGTTTGCTTCACTTTTCTTCAGCAACTTGGTGTCAGGACATGTGGTTTTCAAGATGAGGCACAAGAGTGTCACTCATCAGAATTTCAAGTACAACTCTGCAATGCTAATGATCATTTTCAGTTTGCTTCTCCGTAGTGTCTACTTTTCAAAGTAGTCTTTGTGTGACATCTGTGAAAGTTGTTTTGAGGGTCTAGATAAATTGAATCTCTTCGTTCCTGCTTATGCTCATGTTTATTTATTCTTTTTTAAGAGACACAAAGAGGTTACTCAAGTCTGCTTTCTCCTTACAGAAAACATAATACTTTCTCAGAGTAATTGCAAACTCTGCTTGCATAGTGTTCGGTGAGCCTCTCCTAATTAAAGATTTTACAATGTGCTCATTGGGAGGCCAGAGTCACCAGCATGCCACTTCAAGGTGCTCTGTTTTTTCTCCCTGAGGGAGGGAATCTCTACCTTCCATGCCCTTCTAGTCAAAGGGCTGCAGTGTTCACAGGCAGGAGAGGAGCCCGGTGTGGATGAGGCTGCACCTTCACAAAAGGAATGCCTTAGAGGGAAGACAACTCAGAGTTTAACCCGAGTCCAGGGGTAGTACAAACAGTTTTGCAAGCTTGGTTATTAACTTAAAGGTTGGGGGTTCAAGTTTACCCAGAAGCACCTCATAAGAAAGACCTGATGATCTAGGTTCAGAACCCTATGGAGCACAGTTCTACTCTGACACACGGGGCGGGGGTCACCATGAGTCAGAGTTGGCTTGATGGCAATTGGTAAACTGGTACAGCTCAGCCAGAACTGGGGTTTTGGGGAACAGGAGAGTCCACCAGCTGGAAATACCAAGTCAAAGTCAAAATCACCTGAAAGCTGGAAATGACTTAAGAGTTTAGGTTCCCACCAATACAGTGACCAGCACGGACCACTCCCAGGCCTGTGATCACGTAGCTCAGCAGATGGAGCCCAAAAGATGAAGAATTCTGATAGAAAAGATAGTACACAAGGACAGGAGGTGTGGCATTGTAGGATAAGCACTGCACTGCTAACTGCAAGGTTGGTGGTTCCAGCTGCGCCTCAGAAACCCTCTACAGGGCCACTCCAAGTTAGAAACGACTTGATGGCTTTTAACAATAACCATGATGCCATCAAGATGCTGTGATACAGTAAACAACACTGGTCAGATTTCTTAGTGAATGCTCAACCCTGACTGAATTTCCATCCCTTTGTTCTGGGCTACCTATTATCAACCCCATAGTCAATGATTTCCAAGCACCCACTCTGGTACCTTCACAGTGTTTGGTTTTTCCTGCTTCTCCCTCTATCACTCCCACCCTGACAATCCCCATTTCTGACTTTCTTTACTGATTCTGTTCCTGCTGGAGAAAGCCCCAGTAACATACCAACGGGGGGCTCCCTTACAAGAGGATGACGTACCAATTCCGGTGCGGGGCCAAACTGATTTCTGTCCTCAACTACACCCTCAACAGATGTCCCTTCCTCTTACATACAATGACAGATGTCTTCATCTTTACCTCCTTCCCTTCCTCCCACTTCAAGGGAAGAAGCCATCGTCTTTGTGGTCAAGATAAACTCTCTACTGTTGCTTTTGATTTTATCTCCTCCCTGATCTGTTTACTCTCTTCCATCTCCAGGATCTATGGACCTGCTTCATCCTCATATAAATTATGGTTCAGATTTCCTCCAAGGAACCATTCCTGTTGCTTCTATGCTCTTCAAAGGCAAACATCCTAATGGAAGAGACTATATTGTTGTCTTTACTTCCTCAATTTCTTACTTGCTTCTCAACCCTACCTCTCACCATTTTATTGAAACAGATTTCTTTAAGGAAGTGATATCCCTGGGACCTGGAACCAGGCTACCTGAGACCATCTAGCTTCTCAATATAGCAGATGCTAGGAGCAATGGTGTGGCACTGTGGGTTAATGCACCAGATGGCAAAGCTGTTTGAACTGCAAAGTCAGTGGTTCAAACTCACCAGCTGCTCCTTGGAAATCCTATACAGGGTCGCTATGAGTTGGAACCGACACGACAGCACTTCACAACAACAAAGGATTTTCCAGGTGAAAGATCAAGCAGATGTTTCTGTGTTGCTTTATCTCAAATATGCCCAGAAAGAATAATTCAGAAGGCTAAAAAGCAGTGCAAATAATATAACTGTTGTTCTTCTATTTAACAAGGTAATTTATAGCTTATAAGAAAATATTTCCCCAATCCCATCCCATTTTCTCTACACCCCCACGAGACTCTAAAAAGCTAGTTTCATTTTGGGTGGGAGAAAACTGTCTCATAAACATTTTTATTTTCCCTGAATTGATCCTTGTGTGAGAAAAAGTTGTTCACTCCTTCCCCAAGGTCTGTGGAAGCCAGTTCATTCAAAGGTATTAGTGTTATGAAAAGCCCTTTTAGAAAAGCACACATGATTTTAATTTATTGAGATGGGCAACTTTATGTGGAAGTTTAGTTTCTGACCCTTGTCAGAATCAGAGAAAATCATGAGGCTCAATTTTGGTGTTTACATCAATGTGCTCAGGGGCAGGATGAAAATTGGGCAGTTTGACAAGCCATGTAAACAAAAGTGAGGCTATTTCTTCAGGAAGCCATGGTCACTGTCAGTACCTGAGGGGACCCATCTCCCTACAGGTACAAGGAGTCAGTGCACTGCAGGGCTTTCTGTGTCCGAGGAACGGTGCTCCAAATGCAGACTGCTAAGTTTTCTTTTTTTAAAAAAATTTACATAAAAGCAACGTATGTTCATTTCAGAAAATTTGGAAACTACAGAAAATCACAAATTTTAAACTCACTATTCAGGGAAACATACAGGTTTATTTATTTCTATGAGTCCTGGTGTGGCACTGTAGGATAAGCCCTGGACTGATAATCACGAGGTTGGTGGTTCAAACCCCAAAGCGGCTCCTCAGACACCCTACACAGGGTCACTATGAGTCACAACTGACTTGACGGCACTTACCAACATTCTCATCAGCAGGTATGTGAGAGAGTCTGACGCTGGTGGCAGCCCCTACTACAACCTGTATCTGCACCAATGCTGGCGATGGCATTAAAAACGAAGCAAAACCAAACCAAAACTGCCAACAGGATAATGAAAAATGGTTATTATGTGTGGGCTTTAAAAAGACCTTAATACTAACCGAGAGAAAAGCCACTCCAAATCCACTGCCTTAGAGTCGACTCTTAACTTCTAGAACTTCTATAGGACAGAGGAGAATGGTCCCACAGGGTTTCCAAGGCTGTGCATGGCGTTGCGGGTTAGTGTGCTGGACTACAAAGGTGGTTTAAACTGCAAGGTCGATGGTTCAAGTTCACCAGCCGCTCCCTGGAAACTCTATACAGGGACTCTCTGGGTCAGAACCAACTCGATGACACTGAACTACAACAATCTTTACGGATGTACACTGCTACCTCTCAGAGCAGCTGGTGGATTTGAACCACTGACTTTTCAGTTTGCAGTCAAGTGCTTAACCACTGCATCACCAGGGCTCCTTCCATAGACAGTATTGTCTCCATTTTACAAATGAGAAGGTGAGGCTCAGTACAGGTTACAGAACTCGGATGTTCATT